GAACAGAAAGCTTGCGCAGTTGTTCCAAACTCTGGGGCCAACGACAGGCAGCTTGCCACTGTCTGGATCACCCACGAGTTCATCCCTTGTACCAACAGCACCGCCATTAGCGTTGATGGCCTTGATGACACTTGTTGCCTTACGGGGACCCAATCCAGACACGTAAGGAAGAAGGTTGGCGGTATAGGAATCGTTCATGGCCTCGTTGATATCAACACCGCAGAGGTTGACCATGTCAACCATGGCGGAGTCGAGGTATTTGGCCAGCTTATCAGGTGGGAGAAGGTTTTGGCAAGGGTGGTAAGAAATGGAGGCAACGTCTTTGCCGAGAGCTGCATATTCCTTCATAGGGTTCTGCATATATCGCGCCAGAGCAACACAGTACCTCGTCACAGGATTCAGACTTGGGTGCTCAGCAAGTGCACGAGGGCTGTCCTTGTACAAACGAGCGACCTCATCATTGACCACCACAACCTCTAGTGGCTCTGTTCGATAGTCATTGGTGTCTGGGTCCTCAAACTCAGGGCCCATAAGGCCCTTCTCGTTGACAAGGCTCTCCAAGTCACGTACCAGCTTATTCGTCTCAGCAGACCAACCGCTGACGCCAATCACATCGGGTCGACGACGCTTGACCAGCTCCTCGAACTCTTCTCGTTGGCGCTCATCTCTGGCAAGGTTCCCAAGCTTTCCTTGCTCAACCACACGACCATCTTCCTCAACCCATGCCCAGCAGATGGGATCGCGGGCAGGGTCGGCCATGCCATTGGAGAGAACTAGGACACGGGGCGTAGTGCCCAGTATCATGCCCTTGGGCTTGTAGGGTGCCTGATCGAGCCGTTTTGCATATTCTTCTCGACACATCTTGAGCACCTCATCTTGGCAGAAAGTTCGAATGACTTCTTTGACATTCTTTGCAATAATCCTTTCGAGTTTGGGGTATGCAAGGTCAAGTACTTTCTTGCGCTCTTCCCGCCACTGTTCGGCCCGGTCGCTGAAGTTCTCAGACTCGAACTCCTGATAAAGTTGTCTCCGGAAGTCATATCGGGCTGGCATATCAAGCTTGATAGTAACAAGGCCTTCCTCCTCGGCCTTCATCATCTTCAGGAAAAGCTCTGGTTGGTGAACTAGATCAGCAATGGCCTGGTTTTGCAAATACTTGATCTCATAGTACGGGTGAGAATCATCGATTCTACGAAGGCCCTTCTCAGTTCGTCGACAGCTGATCTCAGCAGCTTGGTAGTACGAATTTCGAAAATGTTTGCGCATCCTTGGGCTTGCAAACAATTCTTCCGAATACATCTGTCGAGCTGCGTTGATAACTTGGTCGCCTGTGTCGAAGTTGTCGTCGACCAAACTGTCAGCCAGGTCCATGGGATATTGAGCGTCATCATCAGGAGTGATCTTCTTTCCATATCGCAATGCATTCTTGGCAAGCTGATCCGCTGAGATTCCATAAGCACGGACGAAGCTATAGGCCTTGCCTTGGCGGACTCGTTCAAGCAAATTCGATTTTGAGCCCGGCCGTTTCGTTAATGAGAGGTTTCCAGCCATAGCAGCAAGATCCTTGAGCTGTGGACCGTACTGGAACTGCAAATAGTCTTGCAAATCTTGAAGTTCTTCCATGGTGGTCGCCTCTGGAATCATCTCCTCCACAATCGTGTCGTGAATTGCCAATCCTTTGAGGTTTTCAAAAGTCTTCTCGAGAGCATTTCTCTTGTCCACAAAAGAACGAAACTTGATGTCCAATTCCAAAATCTTCCAGAGGTCGTCTTGATTCAAGAGCTTGTCTGCACTGATGACGTACTCAGGCGCATCAGGGTCATCACGATTCGGGTTCCGCGTTTTTCTGGTGTGAAGTAGGTAGTCTTTGCGGTGCTGGAACACATAAGGCACCTCAACTTCGTCAACAATGAAGAATTCGAGGACCTTGCCAACGGCTTTGCCGAATGGGATCTGGAGGTCGGCCGCCAAACCCTTCTTTGGCCACAACTGGTTCGTGATCCATCTTGCCTCCTCCCTAAACTGCTCTGCAGTAAGCTGAAGTGTCTTGAAGGTCTTCCGGTCGAGTTGAAATCGCTCGGGCTCGTCGGTGAAACGAATCTCGTTATCTTCGTCGGTCAAGAGCTTCTCTTTAAGTTGCGAAGGTTCGAACACGTCTTTCAGTTCAATGGCTTGTTCCTCTCTTTCACGATCTTCCTCCTCCTCCTCCATTTGCAGCGCCCAATCGTAGTCTTCGCCATTACCGAAGATGGCCTCCATATCGTCCAAGGCATCCTTATCGAGATTACCAGTATCGGCGATATTTCCAATGACGCGATCCCTGGGGCGAGCAACCTCCGCATCTTCTCGCTGTTGTTCTAATTCCTCAGGGTCTTCGGGAAAATCCTCTTCGATAAAATCGTCGAACTCGTCGGCTTGGCGGTACGATCTGCCGTAAGGTCGCTGCTCGCTTGCGTCTTCATCCTCGTCCGAGAAGATATCGTCTAGTCCACGGCGTTGGTTTCCCCTTTCTTCGTCGCGGTAGCCACGCTTGAGGCGCTTGAACTTGGACTAAAGACGAAGTCAGGGGGTGCTACTCAAGTCATGGGAGTTTAAGTAGCGCAAGGGAAAACTTACCTGTGTTTGGGGCTTGGGACGCTCGCCGAATTGCTCGCCGATGAGATCCAGGTCTTCTTCATCAAGCTGCGCCTCCTCTTCACGGTCGCGATGTTTTCGCTTTCGTTTGTGAACAGGGCGCACATCGCCATCTGATTCGCCGCCTTCTTCCTCGTCCTCGTCCTCGTCAACAATAAAGCCTTCACGGACCTGAGAGTTAGGAGTTAGGGAGCGTGTCACTGCGCATAGTTTATGATAATACGGACCTTGCGAGCCTCTTCCTCATCGTCGTCATCTTCCTCCTCCTCACTAGAGTCTTCTACGGCAGCCTTTCGTCTGCGCTCCTCACCACCTTCATCAAAAGACTCGTCCTCTTCCTCGTCATCAAGTTCGGCCTCGCCGGATATCAGGTCGCGCATACTGTTACTCATCTTGGCGACTTGCGATGCTGCCAAGCAGGCAACAAAGCTTTCTTTGTCTGCTGAAGATGTCGGTGATTCGAGAGAAAATTCCGAAAGAACGAGTGTTTGTGGTCTCGGGGCTTTTCGTTATAGATAAAGAAGATGACAAGAAAAGGGAATTATTATTTGTACTGTTGTTGGAAAGCTTTCGGTATTTAGGATTTTTTGGCGATGCGCTGCAGAGCTACACGTGCAGCCTTGTCGCGCCTGGCAAGGATGCAGAGCGGTGACACGATAATCCGTTTCCGACAAACGAGTGATTGAACAGCATCCATGGAACCGCTAACCAAGGTACCTAAGGTAGGTACTCCTACTATGTACCTACCTCTTCCGTACCTCAGGTAAGGAACTCGGATACAGCTCCATTGACCGCAAATATTTTGGCCATCAATAGCATTATCATATTTCTTTTGGCATGCTTTGACCAACCATGAGGCTTGTAGGTATGTTCACATGTATGCCATTCGAACTTACCCCTGACTGTATTGTGCTGGCTAGTGGTCCAAGTGTTGTTTAAACATGTTTGAATCGCCCAGTGTCTGATCCATCGCCTTTTCTCATGCTTCGATTACTTTTGTATCCCATACCATGAGGCTACTGTTTTAATCACTTTTTTATTCTTCCTTAATGTCTCTAGGAATATCCAGCGGGGTAGGTATTTTTCCCCCCTTAAGATCAGACCATTGCAAATTCTTTATGAGATATTGAAGGTTCGCCTATAATTGGGTTTGGATATATGCTGTCGTCAGACTACAATGTCAGAGCTTTGTGGACTTCTATGGTATCCAGGGCGAGTGATATTGTGACTGATCTAAATCATTTGAGAGATGCTTTATAGGTTCAGAACCTGAGCTGAGTAGGGAATTATGCGGTATTAGTCTGGACTAAAGACTTATCACAAACAACCGACGACCACCATCTTATCATGATTATGAATCGATAACTGTACCAAGCTCGAGGCGTGAAGTGTCTCAAGTTCCGAGAGTCTGGCCAGTAGCCGTCCCAGCCTGGCCTAGGTTCCTACATAAGGTACCCAGACAGACAGGGCATCGCGCCTCCTGGAAGTTGGACTCAGGCTCAGGCCTCGCCTCGTAGGGAGACGTACAATAATTACTCCGTATTAATGGACAATGGATGCTGGCCTCCGTGTCTGTACTCCATGGTGTCCCCTTACTGCGAATGAATGGCCCACTAGATTTCAGGTACATAATTTCAAATCTGACAGGCCGTTGCTGTAACTCCTTACACTCTTCATGGCTTTAAAAAGTCGTGATCACATCTCGTCGCCAAATTTTCCTGTTCCCCTCTTTCCCCCATCTCGTCTTACCGCCAGCTCTGCCTCTCTTTTGTGGTTTGTTGCGCCTCCAACTTCTCAGAGCGCAACTCCAGCCACTCCCGTCACGTTGTCGCCGGCTAGACCCCGCCCTCCACTGTCCGCGCCTAACCAGCCAGAAGCTGTAAAAGAGACCGGGACAAATCCCCCATTTCCAATCTTCAGCGACGCTTTGCCTAGACGCCCCTGATAAACCACGATCAACTCTAGTCGAAAGGTTTCTCTGTGTTGTCCTTTTTCATCATCGCCATCGACGTCCTTGATTCTATCGCCAAGAATCAGTGCCTCTCGTGACGGTCCGAAATCAACGTCTGCCAGCGCTCGCATTATCTCGACGGCAGGCAAGGACAAGACGCTTTACCTGGCCTGCGTCTATTCAAGCTCGAATACCACGAGCAACTCTTACGACTGCTCGGCCGGATCGATATTCTTTGCGGCCTGGTGCGGTGCCTCCTCTATTCTAAGCATCGGAAGCCGTCCACTCGTTGTCAGTCACTACAAACGATAAGACCAGCCCGATTCAATTTTCGGTTTTTGCAGCACTCAGTGAGCCTTAAGTTTTTCGAGCCTCTTACATCAACCGAGCTGAATTTCGCGCGCTACTCTCCAGAATGGCCGACCCATTTGCTCCACGCTCTATGAAGCGCAAGAACGTCAAAGGACTTGCACTCAAAGCGGCTGCCCCTCGACCCCCACCAACCGCCGAAACCAACCATCATGAGTACAGCGGAAGCCAAGATGCAGGTAAAGATGAACAGTTGGAGATCGGTATCGAATACAAGTTGGACCTAAGACCCGAGGATCTCGAAATTCTCAAGGAGTTAGGATCTGGTAACGGTGGTACGGTCAGCAAAGTGAAGCACCTAACAACGGGAACTGTGATGGCTCGCAAGGTCTGTATCCTGTGTCACGGAATTAAGGGGTTTCCTGTTAACATATTTGGCAGGTTATTCATGTGGAAGCGAAGCGAGAAATACGGAAGCGAATTGTCCGAGAACTCCAGATTATGCACGGCTGCCATTCTGACTACATCGTGACATTCTACGGTGCTTTCTTAACTCCAAATAACGATGTTATAATGTGTATGGAATATATGGATGTGGGGTCAGTTTGATATGATACATCCATGGCGATATGATAGCTGACACTGGACCAGTTCCCTTGATCGAGTCTCGAGGGTTTTTGGCCCCGTTCGAGTTGATGTTCTGGGTAAAATTGCAGAAGCGACTCTTGGTGGTCTGACATACCTTTACACCAAGCACCACATCATGCATCGTGATATTAAGCCATCCAATATTCTCGTCAACTCGAGGGGTTCGATCAAGCTTTGCGATTTTGGTGTTTCTGGCGAGCTTGTCAATTCTATCGCTGACACCTTTGTCGGTACTTCCACTTACATGGCACCCGAAAGAATCCAGGGTGAGAAGTATACGGTCAAGTCAGATGTCTGGAGTTTTGGTCTGAGCATCATGGAACTTGCTATTGGCAAATTTCCTTTTGCTGCCAGTGAGCAACTCTCAGATGGCGATTGCGCTCCTGCGGGTATTCTGGACTTGCTTCAACAGATTGTTCACGAACCGGCTCCCAAGCTTCCAAAGAGCGATGCTTTCCCTAGCATTCTTGACGATATGATTCAGAAGTGTCTTTACAAGGAGCCCGAACGTCGACCAACCCCCCAGGAGCTATTCGTAAGACGGATTTCCAATCTTGTTTGTTTTGACATGTGCTAATGTTATCAGGACCGTGATCACTTCGTACAAGCCGCCAAGCGTACACCAGTTGATCTTAGAGAGTGGGCTGTCGGTATGATGGAGCGTGACAATAGAAAATCCCACCTAGCGCCTCAGCTCTCTCCTGCAACCCAGGATCTTCTGCGCTCAAGTGACTCGCCCACCCAGTCCCAGCAGATACAGGCATCGGCCCAACCCGAAGAACGGTCTCACACTCCCACTTCTGGCGAGATCCCAATCGGCGGCGCTGGTATTATTTCCCCTCGTGATCAGTATGGCTCTGGCCAGAGCCGATCACCGCCTCGCAACGGATACCCTTCGTCACGCACACCAGCTTCAGCGCACCCCGGACTTGGACCCAGGGTTGTCACCACGAATTCCATTCCCAAGGTTTCAGGCTATCCTGACAGTGCTGGTCCTGTGAGCGCGAACGCTGCCACCTTTAGCTTACCCGTTCGACCAGCACCGCCAGGCGGACCTCTTCCCCCTCCGCCACCTCGAAAAGAGACTCCCGATGAGCTACGAAGGGAGAACCGCAGACAGGCAACGTTTGGATTGCCACCTAACCCTGGATACAATGTATCTTAAGGCTATTTTTTTTCGAATTGTTTCCTGGAGCTGCATCTCCCGAGATAACCTTGCCGAAAATCTTGGGACAGCAGCCTAAACCTGAAGATCATTTAGCATATCTCGGCGCACTGTTTTGAAATCTGCGGTGGTCTCTGGCTAGATCACTACACTTAAATCACTTCATATACCTTCTTCAAAACCCAAGGACGTGGTTTAGATTTGAGGAGGCGAAGATCTATTGATCTCGATTCCCGAGAGTCTATCTGCTGTTTCTAGTGTGGAGGAGTCATGTACAGAAACCGGCCCCATGTAGGAAACCTAAATTAAATCAATTCGCGGTTGAGTTGGCACCGTGATATCAAACGCGGACGAAAAGAGGTGTGACAAGTTGTGATTAACATTTGTGAGCTGACAGGGGCTCGCGTCAACTTCTTGCTATTCCGGGACGTCTCTTCCTACGAAGCCTTGTTCAAGGATATCAACGAGCTCATCCAGCGTAGAAATGACCAGGTCAGTATGGGCATGTTCAGCCAATGCTCGATTTACGTCATTCACGAGCAATACAGTAGCTGCGCCAGCCTTTCTGCCTGCGGTCATGTCGTCGATGGAGTCGCCCACCATGATAAGACCACTGGCGTCACCCTCGCCAGATTCGCCGTGTAAGCCCCAGTTCTTAGCGATGTGCAGGATACCGGCAGGATCAGGTTTGGGTGGGCGGAAGTCTCGCGTTACGATGGGATGAAAGCGAGAGCCTTCAAGAAACTTGTCCACAAGGTTCTGAACAGGGACATCAAAGTTGCGGGTGCATATCGCCTTGGGGATGGCATTGGCGTCGAGGTACGCCATTAGAGTCATCAGACCTGGTTGAGGGGTCTGGGCCTTCATGGCTTCGCGCTCAATATTGCGGATAGACTCAAGGGCAGTCCATTGTTCTGATTTCGGCAGAGTATCAATGTGCTCGAGTATGTCTGTTGTTTTTGTGATTCCTAAAACATCTCTCATTTCCTTGAACATGTATGTTTGGGGCTCGCTATATACTAGATTAGCGATGCATTCGTTGCGCCAACTCTTCTTGATATGTTGAGAATAGTATAAATGAAAAGATGAACCATCCTCTTTTTCAACCACCTCGGATAGTGGAGCAAAGAATATCATCAAGTATTCGTTTGTACAAGATATGTGAGTCAAGGTCATGTGCGGGAAACTTCCGTGCCATAAAATAAGAGTAGAGTGAGACTGTGGGTGCAGATCTTACCAAAGGGTGCCATCCATGTCAAAGACCACTCCCCGAAGTTTGGGGGTGTCGGCAGGACAGCTATGTTTGCCCTTCTTCAGTGGTATGAATCGCTTCGGATGTGATGAATTCATGATCGAGACCAAACGGCGTAGCATAGAGCTGAGCCTGAGGCAACTTGAAGGACAATAGAGTAAGGTTGATATCAAGGTCGAGAGTTCTCGGGAGAACTACCTATATGCAATTATATGGAGTTACTGAAATATCCCTCCTTGGTCTTTTCTCTCATCGATGATAAGAATGAGAGCCGTGTAGTTGGCAATGGTAATGAGTGCTTTGACTCAGAGATGACGCTCTTATTGGGGTGGGGACAGAAAGAAATCGGGGCTAAGAGTTCTTGGGTTACCTACCTGTTCCAGGGATTACACCTACCAAAGGTCCCCAACCTATAGTTTGTAGACACAGTATATTGCAGCACAATTGATAGGTAGAAATGCCAGTCACATTTGAACAAGCATAAGGTATCTAATGAATGCTTTATTAGCATCAGATGTCATCGTACCATTTGGGCAACAAACCACTTAACAGCACTCACTAACTTGGGTACTGAGACAACAGTGTACTTCTTCACATCGAGATATGGATATTCCGATACATCGTTATTATACTAAAAGGTCTTTCGAATTTAGGATGTCGATTATGGTGACGAGTAACAGCTATCATTCTCACCTAACTTTTGCCGAAAAAGTCTGCTACGTAAGGCATCTCTCATCAACCGGCTTTACAAGCCTCTTTCACATCTTTCACAGAACTGCAGTCTGTTCTCCTCGCCACTGCCATGGATTCATATTCATCAAGCCCAACTTCGCGACCATGTTTCGTCCCAACAACCACAAATTGACAGCTTTCATGTCCGGTGTTGAAACAAGGCTCAAATACCTCCCAGTCGGCCATAGGCCCAAGCCACACAATGGCTTCGACTTTCAGATCCTGCTCGGCGATGGACTTGATATATTGCGAGATCAAAGCCGGTTGGCGTGGATAGACGAACATTAGAGCTGTCACATCTGAATCCTGCAGCCTCGAAGTGACATCCCAACTACCACGAACAGTGTGTATGGCTTGTTCTGGAAGATATCTGTTGACATGGTCTCTCATACCAAGTTGCTGAACTTCAACTCCTTCAATATTAACTGAAGCATGATCAAAGCCACTGCGTTGGCATTGAGAGTTGAGATAAGCAAGGAAAAGAGCTTCTAGGAGCCCGGATCCGCTTCCGATCGAAAGCACAGTTGGCGTTTCTCCTAGAAGCTATTAGTTAGTCATTCACCAAGAACACCTTGCCTTAGAGAAGGGGTTCTCAGACTTTTGGCATGGTTCAACGAAAGCGTGGTGTTGGGGATTGCGTTGACTAGGTTCCGGAATAATTTGTAGGAAAGGCTTAGACAACAATCCGGAGTGCGGATTGGTGCTCCTTGTAAGTCGAGCTCAGGAAGGTCCATGTCCTTTATGGTGGGTTTCAAATGAAGAATCAAGTGCAATAATGTTGATAGAAAGGTCTGCTTAAATGCACGTTGGGAACATGACCCTTGATTTCAGAGATGAGGTGAAGTTTGCTCATAGTTAAACGCTAGATTTGTTCTGTGGGTTTGTCGAAGTGGCGTGCCGCCGTTGGATGGTGGGTGTAACACTGATAATTCACCTCACAAGTGAACCTATTTTCATTCCAAAAACAAAACAAAATTCCTTCTCCGCAGGATCACTCTCTTTTGTGATCAATGGACTATGGACGGAAATGCGACGAAAAGCATGCGTCTCACACAAACCAACTACGAGGAGGTCGAATCAGACTCTCAGAATGTACCGCCCGGAAACGTTCAACACCTACTTTCATACCGTCGAGGAAATTGCAGCACATGAGAGCACGAATCATCTTTCACGTCCATCAGAAGCACCTTACTCCTTCGAGCGATGGCTAACCCTGGTTCTTAGAACACGAAACCTCGATGCAAAAGCTACACAAGTTGTCAAACTTACACGAGCAGAGGCCAGGCTCGTCGTAGCAGCATCAGGCACCTCGATCATCACTGGGGAACACAACCGAGCATATCAAGAAGACATCCAGGAAGAAATCATCCCGCATTTATCGTCTCTCGACTTCCCTGCCGAAGGTCTCTTCATGCGTTTGGATCGTTGTTCACCTAAAGATGGTCGCCAAGCCGTACCGGGTAGGCTGTCTCTTCACTCCCCAATGGATATAATTATTCGCTTGATCACATCACAGCGAGCACGTAATGAAATATTGAGGAGTCTTGAAGGGGGGAGTCCGACTGTCGACTTGACCTTTGTTCCATTCAATAAACGTATGGGAAGCGAAAGGGAATACCGAGTCTACTGTGCACCTGAGACCGGAGCCATCTCCGCAGTAAGTCAATACTGTTGGCACAAGCCATGGCTCTTTGACTGTGAAGAGCACGAAAATCAGACAAGAGTAGTGGATCAAATCTGGGAGGGAATCCAAACGATTCACATATCAATCCTACATGATCTGGATCCGGACGACGGGCTGGATCAGCTGCTTTTAAAGCAAGGGCTGTCGTTCGATGTGTTTTACGACGAGATAGACGAAATATCCTAACTAGTCGAGTTGAACGTTTTCGGTGCGAGGAGCGGATGTAGATCGTGCTTATATTATTGGATTAATGATTGGGACCAACTCTATGGCCATTGTGAAAGGGTCGAGTTTCGAGTCGCACGAGGAAACAAAAAAAAACCAAACGACGGTGGTGTTACGGGTTTGTCTGCTTAGTTTCTACCAAATCCATAGGCGTGCTAGGTCTCTGAAACTATTTTCCCGTTCCTGATGATCTTGCGACTATATCTAGTGCGTACCTAGCCACGAGCTTGGATGACTGGATGGAAGTGTTTGGCCCTTGTTCCCCTCAAGATCCCATGCTTGTCCCGCCAGCCCGCGTTTAAACAACGGGCGCAGCCGGAAAGTGTGCATAGCCCCACTAGGCACTAGGCACTAGGCTAAGAGATCTCTCTAAGAGTGTTTTTTTATAATAGCAAGTCACGGAAAAGTCTAGACTATTCCTTTGAATGATAAAACGGACAATCTTCGCACATTATTGTTCATGTGAAAACTTGGTATGGGAGGGAAAGCACGAGATGCTTGCCTCTAAATAACTCTAATTTTCCCATATACAACTACAAAAACTTTGTTAGTGTCATTGAAGAAAGAGCTTGGAACATCTGCCATCCATTCCATTCTCTTTTTAAGCCGTAACTGTTGTGACTGAGCCAAAAGCGAGGGCGCCCTCTTGGAATACCAGGGTCACTAACAGAATATAGGTACCTTTCTCAACAGTAACAGGCACCTAATTAAACTACTCCCGCCAGCACCTCAGGCAATGGAAGTTAGGTACACTAAGGTAGGTTGCTAGAGGTACAGCCAATGCGAGGTCGTCTTGATAGCTGATCGAAGCCCCACACTAGCTGCCCGGGGTGCATGCATGTTCAGCGTCATCCTTATTTTCAAGACTATAATACTCCGTAAGCTGCATTGCTTTCCATTATATTCGATTTTACACCTACAACACCTGTTCCTGACCTTTCTAATTGATCCACCCAGGAGGACAAGCAGCGGAAATCACGACCGTGACAGCCTATTCCTCTCAAAAGGCTGACACTTGGAGACCAGCGCCACTGTTCTTATGGAGCTCTAAGACGAGGAGAATGAAGCGCGCCTCACAATCGTCTCACCACTCCAGACACGAGTACCATCAAAACAACCAACCATGAGCTCCGCCACAGGTTCATCCAACCTGGCATGGCCGCCTAAACAGCGGCCTTCCCAGCGAACGGTACGAAATCACTCGTTCTATAATTTCCTGCATGCATGACGGCGAGAAATGGGTAGATATCTGATGCATCGGGCAGAAATTGAAGAACGGAACCTTTATCATCCCCAGGACTGGCGAACGATCGAGGTCAGAATTCTCGTTAAGCACATCTACCAACGCAGTAGTTGCAGAGGATATCAACAAGAAACCGAAATATCAATCCTTCGAGGCCGCTGAATCCTTCGGTGACCGTGTCCACATTGTCGCACATAACATCAAGACTGCATTCATCTTAATATGGCTGTGGCTACATACTGAAGAAGGCCACGGAGTTCTCAAGTGTACACTTGCCTACGTACTTGGTAGTATGGGTACTTTTTTCCCACCCTTGACAGCCTTTCTTGGCAACAGAGATGGAAAGCATGTCTCTGCTACCATTACCGTTTACTTTCACCCAGCACGAACCGTTGGCTCTATGCTTGAGGCAACTGTTATAGCAGTCGTTGCTGTATTTTACGCGGAGGTCATATCGATGCTGTCGATGGGAATTGCAATTGCCATGAGATCCCAACTCGGCTTGACTGCCGCTGCTCACGTGCTGGTCCTCATTATCTGCATCGGAGGAGGACTGGGCTTTGTGGGTTGGGTAAAGCAAAGACTCAACAGCCCCCTTGTTAATGTCGGCTCAACCTTGGCATCGATCGCAATCATATCTGTAATCACCAAAGAGGAGGGCGTACAAGGAGGCTACTTTGACGACGACAAGATCGTCCAGGTCTTGAAATTGCTTCTTGTTGGCATCACCTGCACTTTAACAGTTAATGTATTAGTCTGGAGAATCTCGGCGAGGCGTGTGCTTCGTAGATCCATCATGACCGCCACCAGCTCTCTAGGCGACAAATTATCATCCATTACAAAAGGATTTCTCAGTGGAACGGAAGATGAATTCTGGACAAGCGAATATGGCCGAGTCTCTGCCCGGTACAACAGCGCATACACAACTATGAACTCAACACTCCGAGAAGCCAAATTTGAGTACTTCTTCCTGGGCCGAGAAACCTTTTATCCGCTTGATAAACGTCTTTCAAGATCGGTTGAGGCGCTCTCCCAAGCCATAGGAGGACTGCGAAGTGCACTCGAAAACCAATTCACTTTACTCAGAGAGGTTCCCAACCTGGAAGATACCTTCCCTTCACCGAAGCCCACAGGGATGACATCCACCTTGAATCGAGCCATTTCTGCATATATTGATGGTGTAGGTCAAACGTTATCTGACATCGATGAATCTGGAGAGAGCGAGGAAGAACGACTGGCGGAGAGAAACAAATCGGATACCGCTCTAGACGCAGCTCCCGCTTTTCAGGAGCCTTCTGACATCTTTGCCCTCTTCATCAACATGCTTGGCCCGTCAATCAAGTCCCTGGCTCATACGCTATCAGAAATCCTGCGTGAGCCTGCATTTGGACAGGATCCGAACAAAGATATCGCGGTGAACGAACAGTTGAGGGAGAGCCTTCGCGATGCTCTGAATCTTTACAATAATGCAAGGTCAGAGTCATTACAGGAGCTTTACCGTACCATTCAGATCGGACGTGCTAGATCTGAGAAAATCCAAGCGGATATAGAAGAAGTTGCTGCAGCCTGTGGGCATTTCTCCTTCAGTTTACAGGCTGTAGCTGAAGAGACTGATGCATATTTGGATGTTCTAGAGGACATCAGGTACACGACTGAGACGGCGCCGCGTTCATGGAGCTGGCTCAAATTTTGGAGGTACTTCGGCCGGACTGGACCTTCAGACAAAGATAGGGTTGAAGATCCGGAACGTGAGAGCTTGATACAGAAACCACCTGTGCCGAGATTGCGGAAATCTCAGATGCCCAAAGGTATTCCAGATACAATGGTCGCACGGCGAGATACCTTCAACTGGGATGCTGCCCCACAATCTAGCAGAGTCAAAAGAAGAGTTGCTCAGAAAATGCTCAAGATTTCCCGATTCATCGTACGGGAGGACATACTTTTTGGTATCAAAGTTGGTATTGGTGCTCTTCTCTGGGCCATGCTTGCTTTTATACCAAGCACAAGACCTATTTACCAGACATGGAGAGGTGAATGGGGTCTCCTTTCCTTCATGATCGTGGCGGCTATGACAACTGGCTCAGCGAATACGACTGGAACTGCCAGATTCAAAGGCACCCTCATTGGTGCAGCCTTTGCCGTGGTGTGCTGGACTGTCAGCCAAGGTAATGGCATTGCACTGGTGTTTCTGGGCGGCCTTGTAGCTTTGTTCAACTTCTACGTGATTCTGGTCATCAAAAAGGCTCCGCTGGGTAGAATTGCTTTGTTGGCATACAACGTGAGCACCCTTTATGCCTACAGCATTTCGCAAGATGTTGATGATGATGACGATGACGAGGGAGGGTCTAACCCCCTGATCTTGGACATTGCCTGGCATCGAGTTGTTGCGGTCACCCTAGGCATCCTGTGGGGCATTGTTGTTTGCCGAGTCCTCTGGCCGATTTCTGGTCGAAAGAAGTTCCGTGAAGGACTTTCTGTCTTGTATCTCCAGATGGGTCTCATATGGAAGCGTGGCCCTCTTACTGTGTCGCTCACTAAGGACAGCACACATAATAACACGCTTGACTACATGCGCGAGGGCGAACAGGCGGCTCTTCAACGATATGGTAGGCAGTCACTGCCACGTCTTTCTCAATCACGCTAACTCTGTGATAGCCTTCAAACTTGCGAGCCTGCGAACGGCTGCGAAGTCTGAATTTGAGCTTCGCGGTCCATTTCCAGACGCAGCTTATGGGCGCATCATGCGTTCCACCAAAAACATGCTCAATGGTTTCTATGCGATGCGTCTCATCACATCGAAACGAAATCAATTAACAGAAGGCGAGCGGGCATTGTTAGAGTACACAAGCACTGAGAGAGCTCTCCTTTGCCAGCGCATATGTCACGTCTTTCAAGTTATCGCGTCGTGCCTTATGCTTGAATACCCCTTGACTGATGCCATCCCTACGGTTGAGAACAACAAGGACCGACTCTTAGGGAAAATCTACCAATTCCGCAAGGAGCACATGAGTACGGATCTTTTGGGCGACGAGTCCCCTCTGATTGTTCAAGAGAGTGACTATGCTTTGCTGTACGCATACACACTCGTTACGCTACAAGTGGCAGCTGAATTAAACAAGGTGAGGGCCGAGATTGAAGCCCTGTATGGAGTTTTACACGAGGAAGCTCTGCTGCTGCAGTAGAGGAGGAAGGCTTGTCAAACAGGAGGTAAATGGTCTTTTGCATACTTAGTCATTCATGATACCAGAATCCATGTTCATCGCGCAGTGAGTTGGTGCATTCTCCGTGCCCTGTGTATTCTTTCTCGTGCGTAGGTAAATAAAAGCTAGCATTTTATGATATGAGGTTCAAAATATTACTGCTCTTCGTGATTATAGAAAGCTACCTATGTTCGTATGGGTTGTCCATCACACCCATCATTACCTTGCAGGCCCCTGAATCCCCTGACGCCATGAGTTATCGATAGCAGCAACTAAATAATATTTAGATCTGGACGTCCAGTCTAAACTGTACATTCCCTTAACCTGCCCAGTCGACCAACATCATACTCGACCCATCGAGCGATTCCCTTGCGTCCTGGTACGAGCACACTGCCTGGGTTCATTACATGACAACCCTCGTATGTGACGCAAAACGGCGGGGCTGTTGTGTCGAGCAAGACCATGGCTGTGGGTAGTGGGTACAGATGTAATGCTGAGGAGTAGTCCCAGTGAACGGGGCGAATAGCCTGGCGGAATGGTGCGAGGTAGCCTTGATCAAGAATAGTCTTGACAAGTTTCTGCGCGGCATGAACGTCGTGAGGAACAAGACGTGTGACGGGCGAGGCGGTAGCGGTAGCGGTAGGATCATCATGATGAGCAGCATCGATATCCATCGGCTGAACATCTTCGGGAGGTGCAGCACTTGAACCTGGTGCCTGTTCTCCACTGGCATCCTTCACCTTTGGTTTTAGACGGACAGAGGCTCGACGCAAACGAGCAGATACATCATCTCTAAAGATAACAAGTTCGTGGTTGGGGCCGAATAAACTGATTCGGCTTGGGTTCGACGTCCATACAGCAGTACCAGTTGACTTCCCTCCTGCTTCCGCATTGGCTGTCGCAAAGGCTCGACGTATTCTCGACGTGAACATTTCTGGCACTTGTTTTCGAGGCAAAGGAACAGAGGCGCCAGCTGTGAAGGAAGAGACCCAGGCGTCATTGTCTCCGGGAACAAAGACAAAGGTAGACGACTGGAGCAGTGTTGGAAAGTCTCCCAGAGTTGAAGCTAGGGCATCAAAGTATTCTTTATATTCGATACTTCCGCCACTGCCACCCCGTGCCAAAACAGCGTACTGAGTGAAGTTACCCATCAGCACGAATGTTAGAGGCGTTGAACCCTCAGGCTCTGAGGCATATCCTGAGAGGATCTTGCGTAATGCTTGAAGAGTTCGTGGTTGATCAAGGTTCAGTTCGCCAATAACAACGACGCGCCCACGTGACGGTGCAGTATCCTCCTCTGCTCTGCTGCGTAGAAGGCGCTTTTCGAGCCTGCGCATCTTGGTGCCCACGGCACGCTCGCTGCCAACACCCAGGAAATCGATCCAGCCAAAGCCCCCTCCTATGGTCTGCTCCTGGCCACCATCGGATGCGCTAATGCCCAGAGTCGCTTGACGACGTTCACACGGCGGCTGACCTATAAAGAAGCCTTGAAAACGGCCGCCTAGTGTACCTCCAACGCCGCTGCTGCCGCTCAGGCCCTTGCCCAAAGATTCGTCTTCTTCTTCATAGACACCGTCAACCAGCACGATCATCCCAGGACAAAACCATGCTGAATCGTCTGGGATAGCTACCGCCTGGGATAAGTCCAAGGCAATAGAACCAGTCAGGTCGCTGATGGCAAGATCGCCGGTGGGGAGGACAACCAGGAGCCCTAGTAGCATATGGCTGCTGCCATGCCGACCAAGGAGGTTCGCGATTGGCGTGAGTTTAAGTGAATGCTGGTTGGAAAGGGAACGGCTCAGGCTTTGTTTTCGAGAGGAGGAGACTGCGGAGGATTGGAAGGTTTCGTTACGGAGAAGACGTTGGTGAATTACATTGTAGCGATTTCGGAAAACTGTCGTTTTGTGTGATGCCGGTGGTAGTAATGAAGGCGTTGAAGTATCCCTAAGAAATGTTAGTCGCAAATTCAGTTGATCCATCGAATAGACAATACTGACTTTTCAAAGTGCTTTTTACCAACGTTGTATATGAACCTGGGTTGGTCATATGCGTCTATGATCTTAAGCCATGCTCGAGGATCGCTCGTCTCGCTTTCTTCTTGCTCCTCATCCACACCAAGTCCCGACATGCCGAAGCTTGTGTTGCTATCCTCCCTCCTAACTTCTGCCGGCCGTAGTCCCAACCGTGTGTTCAGGGTCTCGTTATCCTTGAGATCAAGCATACTATCCCCACGCGGCAGTCCTCTCGTTGGGCCAGTGATTCTGCCGCCGCTCATGTTACCCTCAAGGGTCTTGAGAATTTCCAGGAGCTCTTTACTTGAGCCCTCGACAATGACGCCTCCATTGCGGTTTTTCCAGCTTCTTGCAACCTCTTCAAGAACCCGTTCGGCCAAGCCTTCTTCTCGCCATCCTGAACCACAATGCCTTCCAATGAAGGAAGCTAGTTCTTGAAGGGCAGAGGATGTCAGGGTTAAAGAATGTTTTTTCGTGAATGTACGGAAAGCGAGCGGTCGAAGTGTCGGAGGAGGGAGTATGATCGGTAATATTGCAGCCTTAGGGGCATTGACAGCGAATGGCTTCAGTGGATGGATGGGGGTACCGAAGGCTGGAGAGGAAGATGGTATCGCAGACGACGGAGGGACCGCCCCTCGTTGTTTTCGGAATATAGGAGCTGGCGTCTTATCCATGATCTATACCGCTAGCTTGGCATGGCAGAGAAAGAAAGAAAAAGATAAAGAAAAAGAAAAGAGAAAAAAAGAATCCAACTTTTTGAATATGAATTCAACGTTGCTTGCTAATAGAATTTTGTGTATGGTGTTTTGGTTGATTTGCCTACCTCGTTGCGCAGGTCGTCTTGGAGGGTTCGCGCCGACCGCGTTCACGCGTTTAATTGACCCGTTAGATACATATACCCTCCATAGGCATGTATCGCGTGCACTAGGATCCTGCGAATGACCACATTCACGATCAAGGTAGAGTCAACACAATGATAGCTTCATTGAACCGGACACAGTAGTAAAGTCGATTTGAATTCTAAATAGGAGCCAAACGATGGGGTCAACATTTCGAAATGTTGCTCGGCACATGGCTGTACCTGTCAGAGCCATATCCAGCCTTTCTAGCAACCCTACAATTGTTTGTATTCAGCACCCAAGCCAGTACCACTTCAACAACACTCTGACCATGTTGTAGAAAGTTGTAAAGAATCCCAAATCTCCTTTTACAAACTACTTAAGCTATCTCGAGAAAGAACCGCCGGACGAGCGCCTAGCAATTGGGACTACTAGCGAGCTCCCTCCTACTCCTCAGTCCTTCACTGAGAATAAGGACTTCGTCAAGATTCTCAACGAGGTGATAACTGAGTACGGTCACCAAGATGAGGATCTTATCAATCAAGCACGCGCATTTGCCAGTCCGGGAGGCTTCAATCTGGGCTCAGGCGGTGCCTTTTTCTCACAAAAACGACCTAATAGAGGTGGATCTCGCAAGCAGGGAGCCGGAGGGGGAGCTGGAGGTGACGGTGCAGGAGGCGCCAGCGCTCAGGGAGGAGCCGGTGGTGGTGGAAGAGGAGGATATGTGCACCTCAGCGACCGAAGGAATCCCCCCGACTTTGGACGCATTGCATGGCCTGAGGATATCCTGGGAAGTGTTGAGGTGGACGGTAATGGCACCATCATCGGCAAAGTACAGCCAAGTGGAACGTATCGTATTCTGACGAACGAGGGAATGTAAGTCTAGAGGACACGAACACAGTCACGTCAAGTCGCTAACAAGTTTTCAAGCCTGGGACTCAGCCCATTCTTACAAGCAAAGTTGGTGGAGAGACTAAAGCGAGAAGAAGCCAAACAAAACTCACCAGGTTAGTGGAAAGGAGAATATTCATGGCCTAGTCGAACAAAGAAAAATCGACCGAGGCAGCCAATTATGATCAAGGGTTATGAAGACTGGAAGGAAACGAGATATGTATCATGACTGTAGGCAGAGATGAGTGTAACAAATACTGTCTGGCATTGACGTTTGTCAGATATAACTAAGGTACTCTTGAGACCAGAACCATCCAATGCTTGCATATGTAGACACGGACCAATACATGACAAGTTTTCATGGAGGACTGTTGGCTGGTAGCTGGAAGGGGTCGATAAATAATCATGATGTTATGGTTCAACATCAGATGTTTTGGTTATAGAAACAGATTTCGACTCGACAACTTATAAGTCTATGTTGGCAGAGTTTTGACAATTGATTTGATGGGAATTCAACGCCGTGAGCATATACAAGACACCACTGGTTTTGTAAATTGTTCTTGGGGTGACAGGTCAGACAACAGGAATGGATGTAACAAATGGGGAGAAAGACAGCTCATTAGGTTCTCTGATAAAGTATAAAGCGAAACGCCATCAGGAATATATAATAAGCTTCAAATGAGATAATCAAGATCTAGCTACAGAATTTCTGTGTCAACTATTGACATCCAATCCATATCCAACGTGCAAAATGCTGGATGGTATCCGTACCAAATCACCATTCTTATAAAGTGTTGAGAAAAGAGCCATTAGCCCATGCCTCAGGTGGTTCCACTGACCTGACCCCCTCCACAACAGTGACGACTACCTTAAGGTACCTAGGTAATCTACCCCAGTCAGTCGAGAGCTCTGCAACTTCTACACCACTAACGAATGCCTACCTACACAACATTACGATACGCGATTAGAATAAACTATCTAACCGGTCACCTACCTCCTCCATTTCGCCGCTTCATTTCCACCCGCTCTTCTCTTTTACGACAAACCACCCCGCGCTCGCTTCGTCAATACCACTATCCCTGCAATACCTGTACGACCGTCGCACCCAGTTCCTGACAGCCGAACCAAAAGCTCTGCAGCTCTGGAAACCCCGCCGACCGATCACTCTTCGACCTGGCCCGCCTTGACCTTGGGTCAGGGCATCGCATCGCCATGGCTCCCCGAGGTTTCGAGGACGAGGAGCTTACCATTTCCCTATCCTCCTCCCACGTTCGTCGCCCTCAACAGCAGCAACAACAGTCACAGCAGCAGCACGCTTCTAATGAGGCTCCTGCACCCGGTTCCCGCCCCGCCGATGCGCCGCTCAAGGAAAGGATCAAGACGGAACAGCGCATCGGCGCCTACAAGGTCCTTCGAACTCTAGGCGAGGGCTCTTTTGGAAAGGTCAAGCTTGCTATTCACAATGGAACCGGCCAGCAGGTTGCCCTCAAAATCATCGCCAGGAAGAAGCTTATCAGCCGCGATATGGCTGGGCGTGTTGAGCGTGAGATTGAATACTTGCAGCTCTTACGCCATCCTCATATCATCAAACTGTACGTTGCGCGCCCAACCTTGGCTAAATATATTGGTGTCGTTATGACTGACACCAATCTTCCAGTTTCACCGTCATCAAGACACCCAATGAAATCATCATGGTCCTCGAATATGCTGGAGGCGAACTCTTCGACTACATTGTTCAACATGGCCGGATGAAGGAGCCTGAAGCTCGCCGTTTCTTCCAGCAGATGCTTTGTGCCGTCGAATATTGTCATCGACACAAGATTGTTCACCGTGACTTAAAGCCCGAGAACTTGCTACTCGACGAAAACCTCAACGTCAAAATCGCCGATTTCGGCCTAAGCAATATTATGACCGATGGTAACTTTCTCAAGACCAGCTGTGGCAGTCCCAACTATGCTGCTCCTGAAGTCATCGGCGGCAAGTTATATGCTGGTCCCGAAGTCGATGTGTGGAGCTGCGGTGTTATTCTTTATGTTCTTTTGGTTGGTCGACTTCCCTTCGACGATGAACACATTCCAAGTTTGTTTGCCAAGATTGCAAAGGGCACATACAGCATACCGCAATGGATGCCCACTGGCGCTGCAAATCTCATCAAGAAGATGCTGGTGGTGAACCCCGTGCATCGTGCTACAATTGAGGATATCCGAGCCGATCCTTGGTTCACCACCGACCTGCCCGCTTACCTTCAACTTCCCGTTGAAGAATTCTTCAACACAGGCGTTGATCCAAACAAAGCCATTAAGAAGAACGACATCGCGCCGAATGCTTCAGAAAAGGTTCAAGAGAGACTGCATAATGAGGTCACTGAAAAGATCAGTAAGACTATGGGTTATGGTAAGAGTGATGTGGAGGAAGCGCTGCAGGCTGCCGAACCGTCCGCAATCAAGGATGCCTACATGATTGTAAGGGAAAACAAGATGATGCAAGTGAACCGTGAGTTCCTCTCTCTTTTTATGACTAATCTATCGCCGTATTGAAACTGATTTAGACAATCCTGAAGCCCTTCTAGCAGAGCCCGAGGGATCAAGCCCCATGCTAAGCATGTCTTCTGCCCGCTCAACGACTTCTCAAGCTACCACCACCCCTCGCCCGTACGTGAGCAAGGTCGGTATCTTGCCTTCAAGTTTACCAGCTTACCACAAGGACTATATGGAGCGGGAGAAGGCCGGTAGCGTCGAAAACTCACCACCCAAAGTGCTCATCAACGACGAACCTCCCAGCAACAGGACAGATGCGGAAAAGGAAGAGACAGCGCGCCGTTTACGGCCCCACTCGAGAAGTCAGTTGCGTATGGACGAAGCCAACACAAGGCCCCAAGGGATGACTCCTATTAACCCCCCTAAAAAGAATAAGCCAGTTCGTTGGCAGTTCGGCATCCGATCACGTAACTCGCCATGGGAAGCCCTTCTGTGCATCCACAAGGCACTTCATAAATTGGGCGCGACATACATCCCCGATGAAGATTATGAAACAAGAACTGCAGAAGAGCGAGCTGAAGCTTCAGGCGAAGGTAGCTTTGCGGATTCTCACGATAATAACCGGGGCTCAAGTTCAAGCATCGATCCTAAGAAACGTTACAATCTTCCCGCAGATCCTTGGCACATCAATGTGCGCTGGGATACTTCTGGTTGGTTCTCGAATCGGTTGTACTTGAATTATCAGAACTGACATCTTCCCAGCCATCAAGAAGAAGGCAGCCAGCGTTTCTGGCACTCCCAGCTCGCCGAGCACGCCAGAGGGCCAACATCACCCCAAAGAGCCTTTCGTTGCGCTACATATGGACATACAAATTTACGAAATGGAACATGGCGTGTACTTGGTCGACTTCAAGTGCTCTGGATACGAGACAGCCCATGGCCGACTGCTCGAGGAAAAAGATGTCACCAGTCCCTTTCCCTTCCTGGACATGGCCGCCAAGTTGATCATGCAACTCGCCGAGGCTGATTGAGAAACCTCATTTTGAAAAGGGCACTGACATTCCAAACTTACACCAATGGGCACGATACGTTTGGCTGCGAGCATGCTAGCTCTGCTTCGTACCCTGCCAGACGGTTATATGAATACACACATTCAAATTGGTTCATGAAATAGCAAGTGATCTACTGCCTGGGTTCCAGCAGATTTGCAGTCATTACTGTACCAAACGAAACGAATCTAATGGACATGTTGGTGATGTAACACTATGGACATTAGAGGAAAACCAAGAGGAAATGTCTCATTGCTAGGTTTTTTAATTTTCCATTCCATTTTGATAACAGGCGTCTTACTGTTCAACTTTGATGATATTTGGGTTATATAGGACACTATGCTGCTACGATTTTGACCAACCAGTCCCCATTCCCCATTCAATGTTTTTCTTCTTTTTTAAAGTTACGACTGGGTGGCAGGTCAGGCGCAGGATGTCTATGCTGCACAGAAGGATGTATTCAAAATGAGTCAAACACAAGCGAAAATATGTGAAGATGTGCATATAGTTGCTTATAATGCAATTTGCAGAGCATGATCATGGTCTTAAATTCTTTTCATGATGTTTTGTTGCTTCATAACTAGTCGTATATACCCAGGCAAATGCTTGCCCTATGCAAAGTAATATCGCAATTAGAAATCGGAAAACAGTAGTGTGATATCAAAATGCTCCAAAGACAAAGAACCTGCCACACACTCTTTTTATTTTTTTGCGCCCCGACAACAACCTCCGGTCATTTCTCAACACATGATGATCTTTATTCGGCCAGGTGAGCGCTCAGTTGCTGTCCACCTATCCCTCACCAGCAGTGATTTATTTGAACTGGTCCTCAGTTACACCGGCGCCCATAGCAGCGGTGGAGCTGATGCCACCTGTAACCATCTTTTGCAATTCATCGACGTAGGTTGCGCCGCTCCACTTCTGGTGCTTAACAACATCGACCTTCTGCTCCATTTCAGGCTCTTGAACGAGCTCGCCGTAAGCGCGCATACCGACGGTGCTATACGCCTTGGCAAACTGGTCGCTGATCAGGGCTGTTGTGTGCAGGCCTGCAAGCGTGATGAACTGCCAGCAATAGCCAAGCTTGGCCAGACGGCGGATGTAGGTTTCCTGCTCGTCACGAGGCATAGCAGTTTTCCAGTTGAACGATGGGGAGAGGTTATAGGCGAGCCTAGTCATGCCAATGTCAATGCGAAGTCCTTGAGCTTGGTAGGTTGGTAGAGACTTACTTCTTCTCGGGCCAGACGGCGTGGACACCTTCGGCAAACTCCTTAGCCTGAGCAAAGTCGGGCAGCTTAGACTCCATCCAAATAGCATCACAATAAGGAGCGTAAGCAATGGCTCGGTTCACAGCGCAATCGCAACCACCCTTGAGACGGAAGTAACCCTCGCGTGTACGGGGGGCGTCCCAGTCGAAAAAGATATCACGGCCAAGTACCTGGCGAGCGATGGCCCTGGCCTCGAGGTTACTCTTTCCCTTTGCCTTGGCAAGATAGTCTCGCTTGAGACCGGCCTTGTCAGAAGAAGAGCCTGCATCAATGGCAGCGGTCACAGCGTCGTCGAAGCGGCTGAGGTTGGCCTTGGCAAGCCACTCATCTTCAATGCGCTGCAGCTCAACACCACTCTTGCCAGCACCCTCAGCGGCGATCATGAGATCATTGAGGGGCTTAAGAGTAGGGTTTGTAGAGCCGAGGATGAATGCATGGTCACGGGGATCGATGTTGGTGGAAAGTAGAGTTGCGGCCTCGGCGTCGGTGCGTGCAATGGCGAGGAGATCAGAGCCTTTCACATGTCAGTTGTGTTCTTTGAGTTTTGGTCCCACTACCACCACCAGCATGTGATAATTGGGGAAGTCTGGGGAAGTCAAAGCTCACCCATGATGTCAGCCTGCGCACGAATAGCAACAAGGCGGTTGATATGTTCCTGAATGGGGACAAGAACCTTGCCAGCCATGTGGCCGCACTTCTTTGTGCCGGGGGCTTGATCCTCGATGTGAATTCCAGCTGCACCCTTCTCAATAAAGAGCTTGGTAAGCTTCATGACAGCGGTGAGACCACCATGACCAGTATCAGCGTCGGCAACAATGGGACGAAGATAGTCAATGTTCAAAAGGTTCGCGCGTTGCGCCTTTGGAACGCTCAGACGCTCCTGGCGCTGCTTGCGGTCATGGAAGAGTTGGGCCATGAAGAGATGGCCGACCTTGTTGGGCACAGTGGTCTAAGTCTGTGTTAGACAATGCTTATATAAACATGCAACTATGTCTTCCAAACTCACGTAGGGATAATCAGCCAGATCGGGACCAGGTTCATCAGAAGCAGACGCTGTCGATGACGATTGCCAGCCAGAAACATAGACGGTGTCGAGGTACTTGGCCATCTGGGTGACCATTGTAGGTTCTAGGCAGCCGTAGGTGTAGCTGGCATCTCGGGTCTGCGAGGGAAAACGTCAGGATTTCGCTTCACGATGTAACAAGCCTTCAATGGGAGAGACTCACCTCGAAACGGTGCTCAAGGATCTTCCACAACTTCTTCGCCTGGGCATTACTAGCATAATCGACAGGGAGATATCCACGTTTGGAGACAATCTGCTCAGCAGTGAAAGGGCGCTTTGTGTGTCGCCATCTTGAGTCGGACCACCAAGCCTTGACAGCCTCAACCTCCTTCTGGAAGAGCTCGTCTTCGATATCAGGATTGACAGAAGGGTTTGCCATGTTTTGTGATGCCATTGTGATCGATGTGTGAGTGAGAAGAGGTATGAAGCCTTTTGGGGGAGAGTGCTGAACAATGGAAGTGCGTATAAGAGGGCCTCAGGAAGTAGGTAACTTAGTAGGTACTTAGATGGCACAATACTAAGTAGAGTGAATTTGGAAAGACGAGAACAATGATGGATAGATTAAGGAATTGAAAGAAGGGGGAGGAGAAGAAGGGCAGGCCATATAATAAGTATCTCTTGGACCGGGAATTAGAGATACTCTTGAGTCACTCCTGGTCTCCCGTCCCCCGATATTTCAGAGAGAGACCCGTTCCCCATTGTCTCGCTGTCTCTCCGCACCCGGCGCAAGCGTCTCTGGACTTTTTGGTGGAGAAATGGACCAGCACACCGGCGTCGGTCTAGCAACTTGGAGTCAAATCTTTGATGCAATTGGTAGATAGGCGATGATGGTTACGAATGAAGCTAGGGGAGTGAGAGTTACCCCCAGTGAAGGGAAGGGGACCCAGAACTTGGCGGACCCGCTGTTGATGAGGCGTTGGAGAGAAAGAACTGGGCTTCGGTCTTCAAAGGCATGTTATTGCTTGAATGAGGTCTTCAAGATTGTAGGGAAACACTGCATCAGTTCCAATTGACCCACGTCAATCATATTGTCATTACTTGAGAATCTCTCAGTCTCAGTCTCTCTTTCTCTCAATCATCATCAGTCTGGGCCTCCGAAATCGAGACCGTAAACGTCTGCAATTGCATTTCTACTCTAGCTCGGCTTTCCACCGAGCACAAGCCAGGCACGTTTTCACCTCGGCCATAGCCTAATCATTTGGAGGGAATGGATGCTTGTGTCAGATCAGCCTCTCCTATCTGCCGTCACGAGCCGCAATCGAGCCCCAGCAAAGGCGAGAGTACTGGTAGGCAAGGTGGTAAGGTAGGTAGGCAGTGGAGGTCAGAGAGTACGTACCTCCGGACAGTCACCGAACGCCCCAAAGGGTGACCTACAAGTTTACAACAGCCCCAAAGAAGCACCAATTCTGGAGGTGCATTTTGTTCTGTAAACGGAAATTGAAGCTTGTCAAATCAAGACTTGCAGCGTGATCGGGATCGTGATGGGTGACTGGCCATGCATGGGAGTGAGTGCACGCGGCCTTGGTATCATGACGTCTTTGCTATTTTTCCGTTCCGTAACTTACTTATCCTTAATCAATTTGCGTACAGTACTTGTTCGGCTCAAGGGCTCGATATTCAGCATCCGGGATCCCTCACCACAGGGAGGCCGAAAGCCGAAAGCCGTATGGCCTACCTGTACCTGTACCTGTACCTGTCGTCCCTTTTGCAGGCATGCAGTTTATAACTTTAAGTATATAGAAATCATGTATCCGTATCGTCGCTAATAACAATGCTCATCTGGCACCAAGTTTCTCCATTAGGTACACACGGCAACAACTCGTGGCATATGGATGGGCCCCAAATTTAAGACGCGGGACTTGGTCTCTACTGTACCTAACCCTACTTATCCTTGTAAAAGCATCACTCACAGTAAAATCTGGGGAAGTTAGGTACCTGTTAATCCTCACCTTGGCTCACCTGGGATTTTGCTCATTATCCGGCTAAACCTTAATCGCCAAGTTTCAAATGGCCCCATATTGCAGCGTCACTACAATCAAGCCCTTCCTCTCTTGTCCCATCCTGGCATATATTCTGCAAGACGACTAACTACAGGGAAGCAATATGCCTTCAGCACAAGTAAGTACAACAGAAAGCGAAAGAAAAGACGAAGACGAAGAAGAAGAAGAAGAAGTAGGAGAAGAAGTAATTAGGAGCTACACTCTAAGACAAGTAACCTGCATAGTATACTCTTCTAGGCAGTATATCAATCAGTTTCTGACTGTGGAATCTCGGCCTTCCTCCGTCAGCGGATACCCGCCTGGGCCCGGAATGACGGAACTTGGCCGAATCTTAGGCCCGTCTCCAGCTCCGGAGCAGCGGAGCTTTCTGGCATGTGAAGCCCTCATACATTGAAAATCGATCACTGAGCTCGGCAATCAATGTCCTCATGACGGCCCCCTCAAACTCGTATCAATGGATTTCAATATCCACTGCCGCCTCTGTAGCTCAGGAGTCAGAATAATCACCTTAGTTACCTCGGTCATTTTCTTGCCGAGACTCATCATGGAAAACATCACCACTGATACCTCACATGCCCCATCAACCGCTTCGGCAACTACCCGAGGTCAACGGCTTTATCCTTTTTCCGACCTCTTCGTCACTTCTCTTTTGCTATAATGTTGTGCCAGGCCGTCAATAGTTATTTATCATGTTCCTGGTCATTCATCTATCTCATCATAAAATCAAAGGATACGAGAAAAGGTTCAGGCTTTCTCGGCTTTCTAGTCATGTTTTTGTGCCCAACATGTACTGCTCTCTCATCAACAGCTTTCAGGGGCTCCAGAAACCAGCAAAGCGGACAGGTACTGTAACATTCTTCAGGTATCATATGGATATCGATAGCTACAACGTTTTCCTTTTGCCAAGGGCTTCCTAGTCTACAAAAGCATTACCCTGTGGAGCAAGCAGACCAGCCAGCGTCTTCTCCTCATTCTTTTCAATCGCCCTGATCAATGTTTGATACGGCGTCAGGGCTCCAAGTGCCCTGCGCATGTGCGCGTTGATGATTTGAAGTCCGTAAATGTAACTGGCGTTAACCCATGCGAATCTAAGCCAACGTTAGTGAACAGTGTCTGAGATTAGTGAGTGGATGTTCAACGTACCCTTCCTTGTTGACGCCTCGGAAACCAAGGCCCTGGTTGCCGTATTCCGCATCAACTCGGTGAGGATCGACTGGCCGGGTGACATCGTACTTCTCGACCACTACACCATGGAAATCGACAAAAGCCTTGGTTACCATGAAGAGCCACTTGTAGGCAATTCGCTCTGCTTCCTCCGTGAAGCTATAACGAATCAAACCCGTCCAGGCCAGCATTTGCTGTGGAGGCCAGCCGTAGGGGTAATCCCATTGTCTGTTAGGCCGTTCGAGGCCGACCGCTCCACGCGATTCCTCCGTTCCTGATACCAGGCCGCCGTACGCCTCGAACTTGGGAAGAGCTTTGCGAACCATTTCAGCCGCTTGCTTAGGAGTAGCAATGCCTGCCCACAGAGCCCAGAGAGTTGTGCAGGACTCATACGTGCAGCGTTCACGCTTTGCGGTATCATAGTCAAAGAACATGCCCTCCTTCTCATCCCACATCAGCTTGTCCACTGTGAGCTTGCGCCGCTTGGCTCGTCGGTCCCAAGCAGCTGACGACAGAACCTCACCAGGCTGGTAAGGTGTACCAGCGCAAAACTCCTCAGGCATCGTAAGCCTGTCATTGAAAACACTACGAATAGTTCGTGCAATGTCAGTTTCATATTTGAACAAGAGAGAGTTGAGATCAATTGTCGCCAGGTTTGCGCAAACACCCTCAAGGCGGTAGGATGTATCATGGCCCGACTCTCTCACAGCACGGTCGTGCATGAAGTATTCATCGAGCTCAGGCTCCTCAACTTCGCCGTGGTTGTATGCTCGAACGAATTGTTCGAATGTCATTTTGTGCTTCTTGATATAAGGGTCAAGAATATGCACAAAATGAGTGGCCTCCGTCTCAGGAGGCACTCCACGACCTTCGGGCCGGTATCTCGAGAGACCTGTGCTGGGGTCTAGTCGAGGCTCTGACATCCAGACACTATGATACTCCTTGATGGCGGCTAGAATAGATCGTCGGAGGAATTCCTTGGCATCGGGCTCGTGCTTGATCTTTTCATAAACACGAAGGGCCATGTCAGTCAAGAAAGGGGGCTGTGACCGGCAAAGGTAGTAGGATCGAGTAGCGTTCAGTATCTTGCCATAGTGCTCAATGCAGAAGCAGAAATTGATGACCATCGACTTGGCCAGGTCGACGCGATCGTTGATAAGAAGACCTAGAGATGCCATATAACTGTCCCAGCCGTAAAGCTCGTTGAAACGGCCACCTGGGACAACGAAAGGCATGCCCTTGAGGGTCCATCCTGAAGGGTGTTCTGGCTCTGGAACTTCTTGAACATCCACGGCCAGAAGACCAGGTGCGTCATTCATGTCGCGAACCAAATCAGGGGTAATCTTCTCAGGTAGCATCTGAACATCCAGACGCATTTCTGGCCTCTCTTCAGCGACTCTCTTGTAGAACTCGTATTGTCTGGGACATCGATACGGGATATAAATACGAGGGCGAGGATCGGCTGTCCAATCCTTGGGGTCTCGAGCGGCGATATCCACGGTCGATGCATCAATGCGTCGTGTTAAATTCTCCCAGAAATGATCACGAATCATGCGGGACAGACGATCGACTGGGTTCTCGTTGAGACGAGCCTCATCCAGAACAATCTGTTTACGCCCGTACTCTTTTGCCAAGGTCAACTCCTGCAGGAGGTTACTCAACATGTAAGTCCCGCGGACGTCGAAGCGATTGTGGCCAGCCGAGGCGGCGGTACGCAGAGAAATAACTTTGGGACCATTATCTTCGATCGTAATTTGCATGTCTCCATCAGTGTCCTCTTGCAATGAAAGACTTTCCAGGGTTGAATCGACTTGAATCAAGAAGCGGCGGTTCTGTTGCGAATTCTCATCTGTCGAACATAGAGTTAGTAGAAATACTGGGCTACGCGAAATTGATGTTTCTAACCATGGCTGCCGCGTCGAAAAGGCTCTCGGAGATTGACCCTCTCAAAGCGGTGCATCAAACTGTTCTGGTTGCCGAAAAGTCAGTCTACGTCATACTACGAGGATGGGCAGATACTCACCTGGGAGTAGGTGCGAGTTCGGGGTCCCGCGCGGTTCATATGTCGTTCCTCAGTATAGTAGCTTTTGGCGTCGTCGAAGACGCCCAAGTCATCAGAACCGCGAGATTGGTGACCGGAGGGCGCGGCCATGGTGGTTGAGTTACCAACTTATGGTCAGGAGACAAAGCGGGGTTATGATGATAGAGCTAAATTTTAGTAGAATGAGTG